AAAAAAAAAAAAAAAAAAAAAAAAATTGTTATGTCCCCGCCCGCCCGGGCCTCTTAATTGGCCCCCTTTAGGGGGATAGCATTGCAGGGCAGCAGCTTTAACCTGCCATGCTACCAAGGCTGGGCCCCCCCTTCCCCGGGGAAGTTTTTAAGCCCTTTGGGGGAACCAGGCGGAAGAAAAAAAAAAGTTTTAGGGTTTTAAAAGGGGGGAACCAAGGCCCCCGGCCCGTTGGGTTTGTTTTTTTCAGAAAAATCCCAAGATCTCTATAAGTTATTAGAGCTTTTTAAAAAAATTTTTTTTTAGCCGGTGCCGCGGCTCACTAGGCTAATCCTCCGCCTAGCGGCGCCGGCACACCGGGTTCTAGTCCCGGTCAGGGCGCCGGATTCTGTCCCAGTTGCCCCTCTTCCAGGCCAGCCCTCTGCTGTGGCCCGGGAGTGTAGTGGAGGATGGCCCAGGTGCTTGGGCCCTGCACCCCATGGGAGACCAGGAAAAGCACCTGGCTCCTGGCTCCTGCCATCAGATCAGCGCAGTGCGCCGGCCGCGGCGGCCATTGGAGGGTGAACCAACGGCAAAAGGAAGACCTTTCTCTCTGTCTCTCTCTCTGTCCACTCTGCCTGTCCAAAAAAAAAAAAAAAAATCTTATTTATTTGAGATGCAGAGTTAGAGAGAGAGGGAAAAACAGAAAGAAAGGTCTTCCATCTGCTGGCTCACACCCCAAATGCCCGCAGTGGCCAGAGCTGACCCAGGAGCCAGGAACTTCTTCAGAGTCTCCCACGTGGGTGCAGCAGCCTAAGCACTGGGGCCGTCTTCTACTGCTTTCCCAGGTCATAAGCAGAGAGCTGGATCAGAAGAGGAGTAACTGGGACACGAACTGGCACCCATGTGGGATACCAGCACCATGGGCAGAGATTTAGCCTACTACACCACAGCACCAGCTCTGCATTAGAGCTTTAAAAGATATGTCATCAAGGTTGTTAGATATAATACAAAGAAAACAACTCTCTTACCACAGTCACAAACAGAAAAGTTAAATTACAAAATGATGCCAATAACAACAATAAAAATAAGTAACTCAGAATAAGTCTGAATAAAGATGTACAAGGACTGGGGTTGGTGCTGCGGTGTAGCAAGTTAAGCTGCCATCTACAGTGCCAGTGCCCCATATGGGCAGTTGCTCCACTTCCACTCCAGCTCCCTGCTATTGTGCCTGGGAATACAACAGAAGATGGCCCAAGCGCTTGGGCCTCTGCACCCACATGGGAGACTGGATGAAGCTCCTGGCTCCTAGTTTCAGCCTGGCCCAGCCCTGGCCATTGTGGCCATTTGGGGAGTGAACCAAGGGAAGATCTCCCTCTATCTCTATAACTCTGACTTTCAAATAAATAAATAAATCTATTTTAAAAACTGTATAAAGACCTTAAGGAGGACATAAAACTATCAACAGGGAATTTTATGGACTTTAGTAAGCTGATTCTAAATTCTAAAACTAATATGTTAGAGTAGGCAAGAATAGCCAAGATGATTATAATAAAAAAGGTGGGGAAATTCATATTCTGTAAGACATCAAACCTTAGTATTAATTTGTGGTAATTAAATTATTGTTCTACAAGCACAGGATAAACAAATAGGCCAATGGATCAGAAGGGAACCCAGAAACAGATTCAAATAAATATGAACACTTGGCATTTTACAGATATGAGATTGTAAATCATGAAATAAGAACATATTATCCATAGGGTAAGCAATGTGGCAGAGCATTTTTTTAAAAAGATTTATTTATTTGTTTGTTTGAAAGGCAAAGTTACAGAGAGGCAGAGGCAGAGAGAAGACAGAAAGCTCTTCCACCTGCCGGTCCACTTCCCGAAATGGCTGCAACGGCCAGAGCTGAGCAATCCAAAGCCAGGAGCTTTCTTCAAGTCTCCCATGCAGGTGCAGGGGCCCAAGGACTTGGGCCATCTGCCACTACTTTCCCAGGCCACCAGCAGAGAGCTGGATCCGAAGCGGAGCAGCCGGGACTCAAAGTGGCACCTGCCCATATTGGATGCCAGCACTGTAGGCAGCGGCATTACCCTCTTTGCCAAAGTGCCGGCCCCGACGGAGCAGATTAAACCTCTGCTTGGGATGCCCACATCCCATACTGGAGCACTGGGATCAAGTCCTGCCTCCGCTGCGGATCGGCTTCCTGCTACCGTGTGCCCTGGCAGGCAGCAGGCGTCGGCTTCAGTACTGCAGTCCTTGCCGCCCAATGGAGGCCCAGACTGAGTTCCTGCTCCCTGGCTTCAGCCTGGCCCAGCTCCAGTTATCATGGGCACTGGGAGTGAACAACAGATGCGAGGTAATTCCCTCTCTCTCTTTCAAACATAAATAAGCTTTAAGGAAAAAAAGAACACTTCATTCAAAAAGTTGCTTTGTTTGGGCAATTAAGACATTGCTTGGAACACCCATATCCCCTGTCAGTGGGCCTGGGTTCAAGTCCTGGCCCCACTCAATTCCAGCTTCCTGCTACTGTGCACCCTGGGAGGCAGCAGGTGACGGCTCAAGTAGTTGGGCCTTAGCCACTCATGGGGATTCCTGGATTGAGTTTCCAGCACCTGGCTTTGAACTGACCCAGTCCTGGCTATTGCAGACATCTGGGGAGTCAACCAGCAGAGGAGTTCTGCCTTTCTGTCTCTCTCTCCTTCAAATAAAATGAAAATAAATGTTAAAAAAAATTTAAGTTGTTCTGAGACAACTGGTTGTTCAATGGGAATAAAGTAGAACCCTACCTCACTCTATACCAAAATACAGGCCAGGTAGATCAGAACCTAAATGCAAGTAATGCTTATTTAAATGTTTATTTTACAAGAACATATAGAAAAATGTATTTATAAGCTTGGACTAGGTAACAATCTAATTAGGAACCAAAAACATAAGACATAAAGGAAAAAACGGATACATTTCACTACACAAAAACTTAACACTGGCCAAGTTTGGAACAATCTGAGCATCAAATAGAAAAATGATAGTAATGGGTTACAATGCTTTTAATAAACAATAACAATGAAATTGATGAGCTCCTGGTGGAAAAGAAAAAAAGGTTAGGAGGAGGAGGGGAAAAGCTTTTTTCTAAAGATTCACTTATGTATTTGTTTGAAAGACACAGCAACAGAGAGGGAGAAAGAGACACAAAAATCTTCCATCCACACCCCAAATGGCGCTAAGAGCCAGGTCTGGGTCACGCCAAAGTCGGGAAACAGAACCTCTATCTTGGTCTCCCCTGAGGGTGGCATGGCCCAGGCACTTGAGCCATCATCCCCTGCATTCCCAGGTGCAACTGCAGGAAGCTGAATCAGAAGCTGAGCAGCCAGGACTGGACCCGGCATTCCAATATGGGATACCTGTGTCGCAACCAGCAGCTTAGCCCACATGTGACAAAGCTAGCTTCAGGAAAAACTCTTTATTAAAGGAAACTAGCGGGGGGCAGAGTTGTGGTGAAGTGGGTTAAGCCACTGCCCGAGACAGGCCAGTTGGAGTCCTAGCTGCTCCATCCCTGACCCAGTCCCCTGTTGATGGCCTAGGAAAGCAGTGGATGATGGTCCAAGTGCTTGGGCCCCTGCACCTACATGGGAGACAGAGAAGAAACTCCTGGCTTCGGCCTGGCCCAGTCCTGCTCCTTGTGGCCATTTGGAGAGTGAACCAGTAGATGGAAGATCTCTCTCTTTCCTTCTCTGTACCTCTGCCTTTCAAATAAATAAATAAATAAATCTTTTTTAAAAAAATTAAAAAAGGAGGCCGGCGCCGCAGCTCACTAGGCTAATCCTCCGCCTAGCGGCGCCGGCACACCAGGTTCTAGTCCCGGTCGGGGTGCCGGATTCTGTCCCGGTTGCCCCTCTTCCAGGCTATCCCTCTGCTGTGGCCAGGGAGTGCAGTGGAGGATGGCCCAGGTGCTTGGGCCCTGCACCCCATGGGAGACCAGGAAAAGCACCTGGCTCCTGGCTCCTGCCATCGGATCAGCGCGGTGCGCCGGCCGCAGCGCGCCGGCCGCGGCGGCCATTGGAGGGTGAACCAACGGCAAAGGAAGACCTTTCTCTCTGTCTCTCTCTCTCACTGTCCACTCTGCCTGTCAAAAAAAAAAAAAAAAAAAATTAAAAAAGGAAAGATACCTTTACAACAGCAACACTTAGCAAACTGTACCTAAATCAAGTGACCAAATTTAACTTTGGGGGCCAGCATTGTTGTGTAGTGGGTGATGCTATTGCCTATGTCACTGGCATCCCACATGGGCGCAGGTTCAAGCCCCAGCTGCTCCACTTCCAATCCAGCTCCTTGCTAATGTGAGTAGGAAAGCAGTGGAAGATGACCCAAGTACTTGGGCCCCTGCCACCCATGTGGGAAACCTGGATGAAGCTCCTGACTCCTAGGTTTGGCCTGGCCCTGTCCTAGCCATTGCAGCCATCTGGGGAGTGAACCAGTGGATGGAAGATCTTTCTCTCTGTCTCTCCCTCTCTCTCTGTAACTCTGCCTTTCAAATAAATAAATAAATAAATAAATCTTTCAGTTAAAAATAATTAACTTTAGCAAAAATAGGACAAATGGTGTCATAGGACTTCTAATGTGATACACTGAGGATACAACATCATGTGTCCTTGCCAAAAGTGTTTAAGCTAAATCAAATCGGGGGCCAGTGCTGTGGCATGGCAGGTAAAGCTGCTGTCTCAGTGCCGGCATCCCACATGGGCGCTGGTTCGAGTCCCGGCTGCTCTACTTCCAATCCAGCTCTCTGCTATGGCCTGGGAAAGCTTCTCTCTGCCTCTCCTTCTCTCTCTGTAACTCTTCCAAGTAAATAAATACATCCTTAAAGAAGAGAGCAAGCAAGTGAGCGAAACAGGAGGCCAGGAAGAAGTCCGTCCCCTTCTCACGCCTGCAGGAGGACAGCTTGCTGGTTCTCTCTTCTGTCATTGGTGCTGTTGAAGAATCTGGACTGCTTATTTTGCAGAAGGTCCTTCAGTTTGGATTGTCTAATTGTTTCCTCATTATTTGATTTAAATAATTTTTTCTGCTTGTCTTTTGCTGTCAGCTTATGTAGCTGTTATTATGCTTTCTTGTAATCGATTTGCTTTTTTTAAAGAAAGGATTTACTTATTTATTTGAAAGGCAGAATTACAGAGAGCCAGAGGCAGAAAGAGAGAGAGGTCTTCCATCTGCTGGTTCATTCCCCAGTTGGCCGAAACAGCTGGAGCTGTGTAGATCCGAAGCCAGGAGCCAGAAGCTTCTTCCAGGTCTCCCATGCGGGTCCTGGGACCCAAGGACTTGGGCCATCTTCTACTGCTTTCCCAGGCCATAGCAGAGAGCTGGATTGGAAGTGGAGCAGCCGGGACTTGAACTGGCGTCCGTATGGGATGCTGGCACTGCAGACAGCGGTTTTACTAGCTTCGCCACAACGCCAGCCCCAACACAGTGAATTTTCCCAAAGATAAGCAAAGTATTCTGGGGGAAGAACATCTGAAGAGGGAAGTTACAAAATGGCTGATGAGAATGAGGAGCAAGACCAGTCATGGGACTGCATTTATGCAATTGTGGCTCTGACCACGGAGTTCCTGAAAGCCTGCAATTCCTAGACGCCTAGGCTGATGACCCCCTCCCTCAGCATCACTGCCCTTCCATCCATCCATTCATCCCAACAAATCCTGACTGACGGCCCTGTACGTGAGCACCAAAGATACAATAGCCAGCAAAATCAGAGACTGTCCCGTCTTCCGGGTGCTTAGATCACAGGGGAAGAGGGACTTCAATTAACGTGAAGTTGCAACCATGAGAAATGCTATGCAGGAGAAGTGCACGGAGCTTTGAGCCTGCACAACAGGGGGCTGCCAGTCAGGGACGCTGCAGGGCTGTGAGCTGCCTCCTCCTTTCAGCACCACATACTGGGACTTACTTATCAGACCGTAAGCTCCATGGGGCACACTGTTTTACTCGTAGACTGTCTGTTTTCTTTCAATATCTTCTTCCACCATCCAGCAAAATGCTCCAAAATAATGGCTATTTGGTATCTGCTTATATAATAGATATCTGTAGCTGGATGCTTCAGATTATGAAAAAAAAAAGTCCTAAAGTACAACAACCTTTGCAAATACCCAACGGGCAGTGCTGGGTGTCAAGGAGGAAGAGAAAGCCCGGAGCAGGTCAGCCCGGCAGCCTCCTTGGGCCCGAGTGCCAGGAAGGTTCTCAGGGGCAGAGCGGGAAAACGCACGCAGGACCGGCACAGACACGCTCACCCTGGAGTGCAGCAGCCACTGCTGTTATTATCTCTGCAAATAAAGACCGTGACACTCGTCACAAGGCCGTCACCCAGGACGAGCAAAGTCAGAGCGCAGCGGGAATCGCGAAGCAGCCACAAGCACTTACGTCACGGAACTGGACCTTGCCGAGCTCCCCCAGCTCACTGACGCAGCAGTAGGCAGCTTCCGACTGCAGAAAGAGCTGGGCCAGCGTCATCTCCTCGCTCCGGAAGAGCTCCCCCATGGTGGCAGACGGCACCGCTCCGGAGGCTCAGGGTGTCTCTCCAACCTGAAGCAAACGAGAAAACGACACGGTTTGGAAATGACCGAGAGGGCTGCGCAAACAGCACTCCAGCAAGGGGCTCTCCTTCGGCATTTCAGCTCTTCCACCCCACGCTGACAGATCTTTAGCAACTGTTTTGACAACCTGCTCAGGAAAACGGAGAAGAGAAATCATGTGCTTCTGTTTTGGCAAAGGCAGTTACTGAATCTTGTCCTGCTGAGTGCAGATAAAAGTCATTTCCTTTGCAGTCAACATCAAGATCAACTGACAATGTTTTTGGACAACTCAATAACAATGTACAGAGATTAAAGACAGGGACCGGGAACCCAAACAGCTCCTTCAACACCCCTGGACACAGTGTGAATATCACTGCCCAGTCTTATTTGCTTGTACAGGAAACAAACAGAAGAGACCTTGATCACTCTCCCATAAAATCTGGCCAGGAACCGGTTTTCTCCTTCCATCAAAGTCCCAGCACTCCCTACAGCTATCACCACATTAAAGGGCTTCAGTCTCCTGACTGCTCAGAAAACACCACCACCCTCACCCACAGCTGTGGAATCCAATAAATAACCATTATCTTAAAAAAGGAACCAGCCCTGAATGAGACTCAATTTCAAGGCAAGCCTGCCAGGAACACATTGATAATGACAAAGCAGTTTTATGAAGGCAGAGAGAATGAGCCTTCCACCCGCGCAGCTTTCTGCTTTGTTTGTCAACCCCATCTTCTGGATCAACTGCATTCTTCCATCTGTCCAGTCTTCTCAAGCGCGAGCCCACACACATTTCATCTGCGTCTTACTGTTGCCGTAGGAAAGGCGACTGGCGCTATCAGTGGTCCTGAAACGCAATTATTTATTCTCAATCACCTGCTGCAAGGCGCAGCCTGCACAGGATCTAGACTCAGCGAAACGCACACCACTTCGAGCATCACAAGGCTGCCTGCATTCAATATTCGCAGGGCAGACTGACATCGAAGGGAGATTTGCTACTCTGGAAGGTTGGGAGACATCTTGAGACATCCCTACGACAAAACCTTTGTGCAAATGATGTTCAAGGCTGCAAAACAACAAGCTCAGAGGGAAGCAAGAATTTCTCCAGAGATTGGTGGCTTGGTCTCTAAGCCTGTGTGCACCTGATTCATCCGAACCAGCTGTTAGCAGCCTCACCACCACCTTCACCAAGTGTAGACTCCACACCTCAAAACACACCCGACAGCAAGCCGTGGCAGCACCACCAGGGCGGACGATGACAGCCTGCTACAAGCGCGCTCCCCGCCCCCAGGCTTTAATAACCAGGTCTCCCCAGAACATCTCTAGACCACTGGAGCCAGACAGACAACCAAGCCACAGCGGTGCTGGAGGGGTCACAACGCGAAACCTGAAGAAACAGCACGTCCACAAAAGATGGGGCGGAACGCAGCGCCCCCACCCCGGCGCCCAGCCTCCAGGAATCCGCCATCCAGCCCTGGCCTCCCACCTGGGAATTATTCACCTGCTTACTTCCTGTCCACCCAGTGAGCCAGCAGGAATTCTCGGGACCCAGGCACCCCTCCCTCTTTGGACCGGGGACGGGGAGAGGGGGCGGAAAAAAAGGGAAGGGATAGCCCCAAATCGGAGGCCCTCTCAAAAGCCCCCAGAATTCTTCTGCCCACCCAATAACCTTCCGCTTTCCCCTTAAACGGGGAAACGACCTAGGGCCTCCACAGAGCAGTGAGTCTCTGGTTCTTCTGCCCATAGTCCGGGTGCCCAAGAGGAGGCGAACCCCTATTTTTTCCCGAAGATTATAAGACCCCTGCTAATTCCTTTAACAAGCAACGGGGCTACCAGGATTTCCTGAGTCCCTCGAAGCCCGCTCCCTGCCGAGCCGTATCTACATCCCCCACTCACCTCCAGCAGCCGGCCCTGACGCCGCCACAGAAGCCGCCGCAGCCAAACCCGCAGCCTCAGCGGCTCCGGGCAGAAGCGCCTCGACGTGCGTGCGTCACCAGGGGCCCGCCCCCGCGGCGCCGCCGGGGCCCGCCCCCACGATGATCTCATCGCAGTCGACCAATGACGTGCAGCCTCGCCTGGGCGGCCGCAGCGCTCCACTGCGGGCCGCGGGCGAGACCCGGCGTGCTGCCGCCATCTTGGCCTCTGTGCTGTGACTCCGCGGCGGAGCAGGGAGGGGTTGGGGGCGTGGGGCTGGCCGTGCAGGTGCTTAGCGTTTGAGTTCCTGAGCCCTTCAGAGCCCCTGCTCCCTAAGCTTTATCTTGTGGGCAAGGTTAACTTTTTTTGTTTATTTTCATACCGTGGGAACGCCCAGCCATTTCTCCCGGAGAAGTAGCAGGGAGAAAGGGGAGACACCTGGAGGAATGCCGGGCCCTCCTCCATACCTTTCCCTGATTTTACGGATGACAATGCTTGAGCCCCAAACGGAGCGACTTGTTCCGGTAGATCCCGAGAAGCCAGTCTTTAACAACGTGCGTGTTTCGTTCCTTCTAGCAACTGCCCCGGTCTGTTTTTCTGCAAATGACAGGAAAACCCTGTATGACCAGAGGTTACAGAAGTACAATGTTTCTCTTGCTTCGTATATAATACCTGTGGTCCATCTGACCACTGAAGGGTTTTCAGTTCCTCAAATTTAGTATTAGAATAACAAATTTTGTAGCGCCAAAGTGATGCCTGTTATTTTTAAGCCGCCTTTATCAAATACTGACATTGATTCCCTTGTATTGCCTTAAAAAAATGAGTAGGGCATCCCAGGTCGATGGTTATAACCAGAACCATATCAGGAAAAACCTGTTGGTTTGTCTCTGTGGGTGGTGGAACCCCACTGAGATTCAAGGGCAATGAGAAATGTCAGGTTAAAAAACCCCCGGATGCTAATTAAATTTTGCTACCTGGAAAAAAAAAATTACCAGTCCTGCTCTGCTGTCTGTCTCAGGTCTAAATTCTTGCTTGAAGAGAAGAACCTATGCTACCCATCTCCGCTAACACAGCCAGCCCAAACACAGTAAGTAATGAAGGACCAAAACCGGCATTTTACTTGAATTTGCCTCTCATAGTGCGAGTGAAGATAGAATTTGACTGCCTTGCGGTTTTCTGTAAAAGTAGGATCTTAGCCCCAGACCATACCAACCTTTCTCAGCTTTCTCAGGCACAGCTCAGAGGGACCCATATTTGAAAACCTGCCAAGGTTTATAAAACTGTTACACAGGGGCTGGCACTGTGACATAGCGGGTAAAGCCGCTGCCTGCAGTGCCAGTTTGAGTCCCGGCTGCTCCGCTTCCGATCCAGCTCTCTGCTGTGGTCTGCGAAAGCAGTAGAAGATGTCCCAAGTCCTTGGGCCCCTGCACCCGCCTGGAAGACCAGAAGAAGCTCCTGGCTACTGGCTTTGGATCGGCACAGTTCTGGCCGTTGAGGCCATTTTTGGAGTGAACCAGCTGATAGGAGACTCCCTCTCTCTCCCTCTCCGCCTCTAGGGCTCCGCCTTCCAAATAAATAAATCTAAAAAAAAAAAAAAAGAAAAAGAAAAAAACCCAATGTGTATGATTGTCATTTCCTTCCTTTGAGTCAAAAAAAAATTGACCTCAGAGTCAGCTGCTTGCTAACCACATATTTTCATATTTCACCTTTAAGATAGTCTTTCCTCTGGACTCACTTCAGTTCCTTTGAACTGTGTTCATGGCTTCCTTGAAAGTACACGCTCACAGCTCCTTTTCTGTCTCGGCTCTGCCTTCAGTCTTTATCCAGTGTCTGTCTGTTTTCCCTCTGTGCTCTCTTCCCTGGCAGCCTTGTCTGTAGTCAGGCTTAAATGTCTACGTGTGGGGCTCGGGTCTACATTCCCACTCACTTTTCTTCTCAAAGGCTTAGAAATGAAATTTCAAATAGCCTTTCAGGCACCAGACACTTGCTGAGGGCTCACTAGGTGCCAGCTGTGGTACTGGATGCTGGAAATGAAAATAAGGGACAGTCTCACTTCCTATGCTAGAGGAAGTGAGAAAGTCCCAGTAGTGTTGGGGACGGTGCTGTAGTATAGCCAGTAAAGCCGCCGCCTGCAGTGCTGGCATCCCATGTGGGTGCTGGTTTGAGTCCCGGCTGCTCCATTTCCCATCCAGCTCTCTGCTATGGCCTGGGAAGGCAGTGGAGGTTGGCCCAAGTCCTTGGGCCCCTGCACCTGTGTGGGAGACCTGGAAGACGCTCCTGGCTCCTGGCTTTGGATAGGTGCAGCTCTGGCCATTGTGGACATCTGGGGAGTGAACCAGCAGATGGAAGACCTCTCTTCCCCCTCTCCCTCTGCCTCTGCCTCTGTGTAACTATGCCTTTCAGATAAATAAATAAATCTTGGAAAAAAAAAAAAGTTTCCAATAGTGACAAGACAGAGATGCGTGCGATGGTTACTCCTATAAGCCAGCCTCGTGTCTAGGCACTTTGCAGAGGTGCCCTCATCCTCACAACACTGAGGCAGGTGCTATTATCCTCATGTAGTAGACGGTATAAAACAGAGGCCTATATCCAACAGGATTAAATTTGAAATGCTGCTCTAGAAGTCATTTGCAGTTCCCTATGGGGCTTAGCCAGTAATACAGTTCTGAGTGTCTGAACCGATTTATTTATGATTTTTCAAATATTTATTTGGTGGGGACTGGCATCATGGTACAGTAGTGGCTTAAGCCCCTGCCCATGATGCTGGCATCCCATACTCTGATCCAGGTTCTTGCTGATGCATCTGGGGAGGCCTTGGAAGATGACTCAAATACTTGGGCCCTTGCCACCCACCTGGAAGACCTGGATAGAGTTCCAGGCTCCTGGCTTCCGCCTGGCCCAGCCCCAGCCATTGCAGCCATTTGAGGAGTGAACCAGTGAATGAAAATCTCTTTCTGTCTTTGTCTCTCCTTCTTTCTCTGTCACTGCCTTTCGAATAAGTAAAATAAATCTTTTTGAAAAGTTATTAGTTGAGAGGCATAAGGATAGAAGACCAATAGACAGGCCGGTGCCGTGGCTCACTAAGCTAATCCTCCGCCTAGCGGCGCCGGCACACCGGGTTCTAGTCCTGGTCGGGACGCCGGATTCTGTCCCGGTTGCCCCTCTTCCAGGCCAGCCCTCTGCTGTGGCCAGGGAGTGCAGTGGAGGATGGCCCAGGTGCTTGGGCCCTGCACCCATGGGAGACCAGGAAAAGCACCTGGCTCCTGGCTCCTGCCATCGGATCAGCGCGGTGCGCCAGCCGCAGCGCGCCGGCCGCGGCAGCCATTGGAGGGTGAACCAACGGCAAAGGAAGACCTTTCTCTCTGTCTCTCTCTCTCACTGTCCACTCTGCCTGTCAAAAAAAAAAAAAAAAAAACAAACAAAAAAAAAAACAATAGAGCTCTGTTCTGCTGGTTCACTGCTCCAAGTACCTGCACAGCCAGACATGGGCCAGACCAAAGCCAAGAAGGAGCCTGGAAATCAACCTGGATCTCCAGGGACCCAAGAACTGAGCCATCACCTGCTCCATCCCATAATCCCAGAGTGCACATTCAGAGGAAGCTGAATCCAAATCAGAGCCAGGACTTGAACCCAGGCACTCAGATATGGAATTTGGGTATCCCAAGGGGTATCTTATCTGCTGTGCCAATGTCTGCCCCAAAATTTAGATTTAAAGTCTTCTCCTGTGGCTGGCGCTGTGGCACAGTGGGTTAAAACCCCAGCCAGCTGTGCCAGCATCCCATATGGATGCCAGTTTGAGTCCCGGCTGCTCCTCTTCTGATAAAGTCTTCTTGCATTCTTTGATAAGCAGTGGATCAGCTCAATGATTGTGTCTTGCTACATAGATTTTACAGTGTTTTCCTCTGATGAACTCGGATTCTAAAACTCTTCTAACCAAGAGTCTGATTAGAGTGTTCCAGGAGAGCATTCTCCCAGCACAGCCTGAGGGTGACCTTTATCATCTCTGACTGCTGTCCTTGAAATGATGGTTTGCAGTTTTCCAGGGAAATGATCCCTTTCACAATTTCACTCTGAGTTCCTCAAAATAACACTTCTACTTTTACTTTCAGAGCCTGTGCATGTTCAAGATAATGTCTTTTGGTCAAAAACAAAAACTTCTAGCAGATTTTGAGGCTTCCTTTGAAGTTAAAGGGAGGTCAGAGTGCTTTAGCTCTGCTAATGATTACATGGATGAGGAGATCTGAAGGAGCCAGAGGCATGTGACATTTTGTGCAGCCCGCATGACTCCCCGTGAAGGACATGTGAGGCGGACAGCCTCCTGGATGGTGGGAGTTAAGAATGCCATGCAAGAGCCTTCTTAAAGAAGTGGGCTTTATAGAAAGTTTGAGATGGGAACAAGGGAAAGGACGGAGTGACATGTGGCATTGGCCTCTGTGCCATTGGCCTTGAAATATTTGTCAAAAAAAAAAAAAAAAGTCACACACTGGTTCAAGGAGATTTCTGAAGTGGAGAATCTAACAAAGTTTTCAGTATTGGACTGGTGTCTTTTTTTTTTTTTTTCCTTAATTTCAGAATTTTTTTTTCAGATTTATTTATTTGAAAGGGGAGGAGGGAGAGAAAGAGGTGTCTTCCATGCGCTAGTTCACTCCCCACATGGCCACAATGGCTGGAACTGTGCCAATCCAAAGCCAGGAGCAGGCCGGCACCGCGGCTCACTAGGCTAATCCTCCGCCTTGCGGCGCCCGCACACCAGGTTCTAGTCCCGGTCGGGGCGCCGGATTCTGTCCCGGTTGCCCCTGTTCCAGGCCAGCCCTCTGCTGTGGCCAGGGAGTGCAGTGGAGGATGGCCCAAGTCCTTGGGCCCTGCACCCCATGGGAGACCAGGAAAAGCACCTGGCTCCTGCCATCGGATCAGCGCAGTGTGCCAGCCGCAGCACGCCGGCCGCGGCGGCCATTGGAGGGTGAACCAACGGCAAAGGAAGACCTTTCTCTCTGTCTCTCTCTTTCACTGTCCACTCTGCCTGTCAAAAAAACAAAACAACAAAAAAAAGCCAGGAGCAAGGAGCTGCTTCTGGGACTCCCACAAGGGTGCAGGGGCCCAAGGACTTGGGCCATCTTCTACTGCTCTCCCAGGCCATAGCAGAGAGCTGGATTGGAAGAGGAGCAACCGGGTCTCAAACCCACACCAATATGGGATGGCGGCACTGCAGGCAGCAGCTTTATAGCACCAGCCATTGGATTGGGTTTTTTTCTCTTTCTTTCAGAAATGTTATATATATATATTTTAAAGATTGATTGATTGATTGATTTGAAAAGCAGAGTGGCAGAGGAAGAGACAGAAAGAGATCTTCCCTCCATACTGATTCACTCCCCAAATAACCACAAGAGCCAGGGCTGGGCCACACCAAAACCAAGAGCCAGAGGCTCCATCCTGGCCTAGCATGTGTGTAGCAGGGCCCAAGTACTTGGGTCCTTTGCTGCCTTCCTAGGCACATGAGCAGGAATCTGGAATGGAAGTGGAGCAGCCCAGACCCAAACTGGCACCCCCATATGGCAGCAATTTAACCTGCTGTGCCACAATGCCAACCCCAGAATTTTCTCTCTTTTAAAAAGTTATTTATTTATTTGAAAAGTAGAAAGTGAGATATAGAGAGGTCCCATCTACTAGCTCATTCCCCAGATGCCTACATCAGCTGGGGCTGGGCCAGGCCAAAGCCAGGAGTCAGGAACTCCATCCAGGTCTCCCACATGTGTGGCAGGGACTCACGTATGCCTGCTGCCCCTAGAGTGTGCATTAGCAGGAAGCTGGAATTGAGAACAGAGCTGAGAAACCCAAGCCCAGTATGGAATGTGGGCATGCCAAGATGGTCTTAACCACAATGCCGAACACCCGCCTCTGTATTAGGTTTCTAGTGAGAAAGGAGGTCAGACCTTCAGTGAAGAAATACCTTGGGGGCTGGCGCTGTGGCATAGCTGGTAAAGCGGCCGCCTGCAGTGCTAGCACCCTGGTTGTTCCACTTCAATCCAGCTCTCTGCTATGGCCTGGGAAAGCAGTAGAAGATGGCCCGAGTCCTTGGGCACCTGCATC